CTGGTAAAAATTCAAATAATTCCTAAGAATTCCTTTTCTTTTTCTTTTTAAATAAAATCTAAAATTTAAATTTTGATTTTATTTGGAGGTTTTTCCACTAAATTCATCACCTTTATCCTCAATTAACCCCCGATTACCTGGACGTTTCGGTTGCAGATTGCAAATCTCTTCTATGGATTCGCGTGGTGTTTATTGATTTTTTTAAGAAAATACTTCCCGAATAATAATAAATTTATTGTATTTTTTCGATTTTATTTGCATTTATATATTTTCCTACCTTATTTTATTCATAATTTAGTAAAATATTGCACCATCTTACTTGGAGCTTGGCTTCTTCGGCAACTCTTGAGGAATCCTTGTTTTTATAATGGAGTAAAGATTCACAATTGAAGAAGGAAAAAAATAGTAAAATTGCATAAAATTTAACTATTTTAAACAAAGAAATTACAGTTTTTCTATTAAAATTCAGGGCATTTTGTATTATTTTCAAAATACTCGAAGAGTTCTTTAGTTTGGTGAGAAAACTTTCCCCAAACTTTTCTGCAGGATTTCTAAACTTCAAGTTGTCAACAGAAGTGAGGGGAGAGCGGTGGACCATGAAATCCTTCTTGTGAAAGAAATTTGGACTGCAAGATTTACACTAGCTGGTCTTCTCCCTATAATATATACAGCAAATAATTCAATGCTTTGTGATCAGGAAAGTTCAACATGGCCAACGAAAAAACCTATAATAATTCTATCTCCATTCGAATTTTTTTTATTTTTTTACTTGGATTTTTCAATCCGGATTATTAATATGCTTTAGTAGTTTCTCTAATCAAATTTTCACTACAACTTGTATAAATTATTTAGTAATATTAAATTATAGCCAGAGGAAATTAAGTAGAGGAATTATATACAGGGATTTCTTCTGTAATACCTCGCTAAGGATTTGTTTTTTTTTTTTTTTCTATGTGTTATATTGGATTTCAGAGTGAATTATTAATATATTTTAGTAGTTTTCTTAATCAAATTTCATTCTAGAATTTCAAAAATTAAAAAGGTTTTACTATAATATTATAAACGGAGGAATTATACAGAAGGATTTCCTCTGTAATATTTCACCAAGGATTTTTTTTATTTTTGGATTTCAGAATGAATTATTCATATCTTTTACTAGTGTTTTTTTAAATTAAATTATAAAAGTTTTACCAAAAGAAGAAAATTATAAGCAGAGGAATTATATACAGAGGAAAATCCTCTGTTTATAATTTAGGATTTCAGCGTGGACTTCTGTAGTTTTTAAATCATCTTTTCACTTTAGAGTTGTAGAAATAATTTATAATTTATAACACTTATATGGAGAAGGTGTATACAGTCGCTGCAATAGGGGTAGAAGGTATGGTCGTACTTTTTTGAGTACTGCACAATTGGATCGCGACTTCTTGCACATGATGGAGAATTATGCAGCAGAGGACAACTTGCTATTACAAAATCCGGCGTAACAAGTTACTTCCATATTGGTGTTAACATCTTTTTGAAGCATTCTGTATATATATATAGAGTGTATAAATGTATACAGGCTTCAAAAAGAGGTGTAGCTTACATAGTGTTATATCTCTACCTCTATAATCTATATAGTACATGTATACTACAGTAATATTACTGTAGAGATATAGCAGATATATCTATAAAGTGTTACACCCATACCTCTACATTTATACAGTGTAACATCTATATCACTACATCTCTAAAATGTACAGTACAGCACTTCCTACAGTGGTATAAAGGTATAGATATAGTAGTAACAATACTTCTGATATCAGAAATTCTTCCTTAATTCTCCCTATTAACACAAAACACATTTATGGTACGATGAAGAACCCCAAATTACGTCTACTGACCTTTTTTTTAAGACGTTAAACACCCCAGACATCACTTTAAACTGATTTTCCGAACGTTATCTTCCATGTTCTTTTTTATATTCTACCATAAATTGAATTTCAAACAGCGTAAATGTTTTTCCAATTCCTCGAATTTTATTCAGCCATAACTGTAGTTTATGTGTTGAAGAATCGGAAAGTGCACCCAATATTCCATAGGCGCGTTTGATACGGAAATTGTAAAATTAGCTTTATATACGGGAAAGAATAAGATAAAAATTTAAGTAACGAATACTTAAAAGTATATAGAAATAAAAAAAAAAATGGAGGGAGGGGAAGAAGAATCGAATTTTATAAAATACCGCCAATACAACGGAGTTAGAATATCCAACATTACTCTAGAGATTTTAAGGATGAAGTGGGGAAAAAAAAAAGTTATTACAAAACCAAATCTTGTATTATGTATAGCATTGTGTTGAGTGATTAGCACTTCTTTCCAAATGGCAGGCAGCCATGATGTCATAGCGCAGGCACTGTGTCAATATTTGACTTTTGTGTTGTCCGCGGATGCTATAAAAAAGAATAAGGTGGCAGTGCACGATCCTATGTAATTTCGTTAGCATGTCCCCCTAGGGATTCGGACGAACCCCCTGTGTTACTATGGGGATGTGGACGTCACAATGGGGGTTAGTTTTATTACAGATTTCTATCGATGGACTCGTCTCGATCACGTGTCTGGCATACCCAGGAAAGTAGAAAGTAGAAGTCGTGAAATCGAAATCTATTGTCTACACCCGGATGAAAAGAGAATGGCTATTACCTGGATAAATCCCGGTTTTATCGAGAGAATATTTCGTGTAATAAGGAATGGAATTTTTCCAGTAATTTTTAAGTAAATTTATTTTTTTTTTACGTGGCATTTTCTTAGTGTCAACTGTCATTTCATACAATACTACTTCATTTTTATAGTATTGTTATCATTAGTATTGTGATATAGTTGTTTTGCTACCATGAAAAGGTTAATAATAAAGCGATTCCATAAAAAAGTAGAGCCGATATCGCGCATAATATCGGCTCTACTTATTTTATGATGTCACTTTATTATTAACGTTTTCGTGGTAACTTCATTAAATTATGTAATACCGTATTCATTTTTACAGTATTATTTTTGTTTGCATGAATTATTATTTCTATAGTACTTGTACTATTATGGTACTGATATCGTTTTTACTATATCACCGTTAATTTTGTATAGTAAGTTACTATTCCAGTTTTGTACAATGCTAATCCGATCTTGAACAGTACTACAACATTCTTGTGCAACAATACTCCATTCTTATATAAAACTACCTATTCTTGTGCAGTATTTCTCCATTCTTGTGCAACAATACTCCATTCTTGTATAGTACTACCCCATACTTGTGCATCACTACTCCATACTTGTGCAGTACTGCCCATTCTTGTGCAGTACTACCCATTCTTGTGCAGTATTACTCCATTCTTGTGCAACAATACTCCATTCTTTTATAGTACTGCGCCAATTTTTTAACAGCTTGTGCATCACTACTCCATACTTGTGCAGTACTACCCATTCTTGTGCAACAATACTCCATTCTTGTACAGTACTACGCCATTTTTTAACAGCTTGTGCAGCAATATTCTATTCTTGAACAGTATTATTCCACTTTTGTATGGTACACTTCCATATTTTCTGTATCACCCCCATAACATTATAGAGTTATAACTTCTATATTTTATACGATAACACCGACTACTTTCCCATAAAATCAAACTTATCCACAGCCTAATTTTCTTAACAAACAACCCGAATAATTTATATTATATTATAAATAATAATAATAATAATAATAAATAATTTTAAAATAAAATTATTCAAACCGAACATTTAATTTAATTCGAATTTTTTTTTAAAAAAAAAGAAGCTATTCTGCACGAAGAGAAACGAAAAAAAAAGGTACTCAATCAATCATAAATCCAAGCCAAAACCTGACGTTCTTGCATATAAATATTTTAAATTCGAGTAAAATGCAACGTCTCCACGAATATATAAATTCTAAAAAATAAAAAATAAAATGCAAAATATTTCTAAGAAATTTATTTTCATTCCAAAAACACGCACTTCTTACCCTTTATAATAGGAAACTAAACAGGACCTGTATGAAATAATTTCGTATATTTGAATTTTTTTGGAAGGAGTTAAAGAATTTTTGATAATAAATTTGCCTTTTTTTGATGTATTATATTATTTTATAGTCTATAAGATTTTTTTTTGTCGTGGGAATTTTCTATTTTTACAAAATATATCGATCTGTAGTGGATATACTTTACTAAGCGCGCTCATATATTTTGCGTTTTTTTTTTTTCTATTTTTAAAAATCTCATCTTAAAATTCTATCCAAAAATAAGTGAAATTTATTTATTTTTATAAAAGGAATTTCGATAGAATTTTTTTTTATACAAGAGTCAACTAAATTTAAAAAAAAAAAAATGATGAATTTTGATGAAGTCTACTTTGCTCTGGTGTGGTGGCTATCATCATTTTTATGTAGCATCATCCCGTTTTTGTACGACGTCCTCGCTGATGTAACCATACCTCTACGTTCTGTACAATATCTTATTCATTTTTTAATAGTTTTTAAAAAAGAACGGCATTATTTAAATACGGTGGAACCTGTGAATAACGGACATCGAGGAGAACGTCGAAGTGGTTGTCGTTCTGTATGCGTTTTCGTTAAAACAAAAGAGTTTCTTAGAAAAGTACGCTGTTTAGAGGTGTCCCTTATTGCAGGTTTCGACTGTAATTGAACACCATTTTATGAGATAAATTTTTCCTACTTTTGCATTGTATCACCTCCATTTTGGCTTGATGCTGTACCATTTTATTTTTGGTGTGGTACTCCTCCCACTTTTATATAGTGCCACCTCCACTTCGTATAGTACCATCAGCTCAATACCTGCACCAGATTTACGATACCATCTCCATTTTTTAGGGGGGGTTTGGCACTCCTACTTTTATACGGTACCACCTCCAATTTGTATAGTACCATCGGCACAAAGCAAACATTTTCTACGAATCTCGACGTTTCTATCTTTAAGGTTATCGAGAGGAGGGTAGAAAAAAAGGAAAAAGAGAGGGAAAAAAATGCCAATAGTTGGCTGTCAGTGCAATACAATCGTCACTTTCTCAGCTCCATTAGAACAAAACATTTAGAGAAATACCTGGAGGCAATAGAAAGCTCTCCCTTGAGTATGAAAGTTTATAACGAACTATTTCGAACCAATATAACTGGACAGCTGATAATACGTCGATTTTTCTCGATAGTTTAATTCGACCAATCAAACGTAAGAGGAAGTGACGTCTAGCAGTAGGCGGTGCACGGTGGCGAGGTCCCGGGATCAGTCAAGCTGTCTGCAGAGTGATGGCGACGTGTGGACTTGCCTGGTGGACATTATTCGCTCGGGTCCTGCTCCAATTTTGGCAAACGTCTGGCAAACAGGGTGAGTCGAATCGTCTCTTTTATTTTTACTATTTTTTTTTCCTTCCCTTCTGGTGTTTTGATGCCTCTTCCAATGGATACTTGCCAAGTCGTTTGCCAACGAGCAACCTGTGATTATTTAGCATGTATTTGCTCCAACGGTTTGGTACGCGCGACCCGTTTTCACTTTCTTCCATCACTTCCTCTTAACACTTTCATGCAACCGGATGGGCTAACGTTATGACATTCTGGTATGATAATAATCGCACTAACTGGTACATTTTTCGCTCTTCTTTGGGTTGGGCCGCTCGAAGGCCGGAAAGACAAGTTTGGTATGCGATCTAATCTGCCAGATTAAATGCCAGAAAAATGTTATTTCTATGAAGTTGTTTTGAATATCTTCTATTGCGTGCCGAACATAGGGCACGAACATTTCTCCCAATTTTTTTTTTTTTTTATTAACAGGAATGTCGACTTTCTTACACATAAAAGTGCCGGCCACCTTTAAAAAGTAACCAGCACCCCCTTCTCTGGGATCATAGACATAAGCAATATGATGGTAAAATTAGTACGAGGAGGGGTGTTTTTGTTTACGTATCCTACGTAGATGGCAATAATTATCGATTTTTTATATAGATTTTGCCTGTGGGAGCCAACTAGGAGCCACGATTTAACTGGAGAAGAAATGTCTCTTGTTCGTTCTCTCGTCCTCTTCGTACAACCGAGGTGACATCCATGGGTCGTTATCGGAGCGAAAGAAATAGAAAACCGACGAAATGGCAAACAACAAACTAGCTCCGGGCTCTTTTAAACTTTTGCTTCTAATCCATTCTTTGTTTGTTGGATGCTTGGTGGTACCCCAGTTTTCGCCATCGGATCGCCGAGTGTGAAATTGTAACTTTTAAAACTACAATAGTTGTCACCTTTCTCAATAGAACAATGCTTTCGGTGCCGGAATAGTTGGTCAGCACCTAGCATCTGTTCTATTGTGTGCTCTGCTGCATTCAAGTCCTCTTTGAAGACTAATACTTCAATTTTATTTCGGTTAAAATAGCGATTGTTGGGATACTTTTCCTCTCTCCCCCCCTCTTTCTACCACAGGAAGAGGATTATTTTTATCTAAGAGGGGTGAGTCAAAATGAGATGAATAGTCTGAAATTTTCCGAAAACAACTGGAAGGATAGATAAACGAGGCGTGACTACACGAGTAGGATAATCAAAGCATCATCGTGTGGTGAATTTCATCTTCCTTTAGCCTTTACAATGACGTGACTCTGTTGTGCTTTACTGAACTGTTACGTATGATAAGCATTCCATTGGTGTTACGTTCGCTGTGTTTTTTATTTTATTTTTTGTTTTTTCTGCGCTCCGCATCGATCGCAAAAATTAAGTGTAAATTGCTGACTTGTTCAATGTATCGCAGGCCTACTTATATTCAGATTTCTTAAATGAAAGGCCTCCCTTCTCTTGCACGCAATCATTTTAGGAATAATACGCTACTATTACTATTGATATTACTAGAATTACTATTAGCACTCGCTGTTAGCAGCACTATTTGCACTAGCAGCACTACTAGAATTACTAACGGCATCACTATTATTAATACTACTCGACTACTATTAGCATCACTAGTAACACCACCATTAGAACTGCTGTTTGCGCTATTATTACTATTAGAATATCTAGAATTATTATAGCACTACCAGCGTAACTACTAGCGCTAATGATATTATTGTTAGCATAGTACCAATGACCAGCGAAGTAACTGTACTTTAAATATAAGGGCTACTATTGAAAATTATGTGTAAAAATAAGCACTGAGATTGATTTGAAGAAGCATTAATCAGTGCTTCATATTTTACACTAGGGGTATTCTCTGTTGTGATAATAATAACACCCATTTCCTAGAATCGAAGAAAGTTTTAGTATGAAGGCAAAGGCAGTTTATTTGGACATTTGGTTCCTAAATATAGCAAGAATAGCTTTCACATTGTTTTCTCACCAACTTCCAAACAATTTATTTTCCAATGGAATGCATTCGGTGCAAGATATGACTCTTCTCTTTCTTCCCTATCCTTGTAGCGTAATAGAGTAGAAGCATCATTGTTTTCCTCATCTAAAGATAAATTCCCTTTCTCTCAAACTTTAATGCTATTTACTGTATAAGATGTAATTCAAAATTCACGTAGGCAATTTGCTATAGTTTAAATAATTGATCGAATAAAAAATGTATGTAGTTTAGTGTGTCTACGTGATAAATTTTATAACGTACTCTACGTGCTAAAAATTTAATTAAACAACAAATATATATATATATATACTTGATATCTATTGGATGTTAAAATATATTTTTTAAAAATAAAATCACATCAAATTACTACTCCAAATTGATTATATTGTTGAAAGCGTGCGTGAGATTGGTTGAAAATTTTCCCTCCAAAAATTTAAAAATCGTTGTAACGGTTGCTTTCGTAATTGATTACGTTGTCGAAGTACCATTCACGCCATTGGCTGATGCTATTTCCGCGAAAATATTTGAAATTTATTTTAACGGTTGCTTGAAACTGATTTTATTGTTTTAAAATATCATAAACACAATTGGTCGATTTAAAAAATGTTAACAGGAGCTTTAAATTTGTTAGGAATGCATTAATATGATTGGTTATAATTGTTATACTGACATAGAAGAAAGATAAAAAGCCTACTCACAGGCTCAGGCTTCACAGGTTTTTGTCTTAAAGGAAAAATGAATTAAAACAAGAAAGAAGAACAGGTAACTCGGTCAGAGGTGAANTACAGGAGGCATTCACACGTTGTTCTAGAACACATGTGAATGTCTCCTTATTGTGTGTTAACTGTTAAGTATGCATTTCCGGACATACAGTTTATAGGAACACTTGTGTTGGCAGGAATCACCACCGAAGTTTTCGCTCATATTTTGAAGCCATTCTGTATACTCCTCTACAGTAAAACTTCATAAAAAAAAGAAAAAATGACATTATGAATGAATCTTAAACGATAAGACAATTAAAAAATATATATATTATAATTCTGAGCAATATTTAATTACGATTAATTCGATTAAATTTGCATAATTTTCTATATTATTTGCTTGATTTTGAATAGTTGATCAACAAGATTTAATGTCTTAAAGTTGAGCAAAAGGGCGCCAGTCTATCTGGAGACACCAAAGGATGTGTGATATGATTTTTTTTTTCCACCCTCTCATTGTAGGAAGTGTTTACACCACTTTTCCTGATCATAATTAAGCACAAAATAATAAAATATAATTAAATTTTACTCTTTTATTATTATATTTGAAGTATATTCTTATTAGTCACACGAAAAAACTTGTGTGAGCCGGAACTCGAATATCTTTTACCGTTGTAGACGGGTTATTCATTACCTAGAAAGACGTCTATTTAATAAACTGGAATATATATTCGTTTTTAGAATCGAATTATCGCAATCATTTCTCAATTTTTTTTTATTCCTGACTCCTCTCGTCATTTCCGTTGCAAGGAAAATTGATTCAGAGCTCATATAATAAAAATTCCAGGCTATTGAACTCGCTACATTCCATATCTTCATCGTAGACGTTTGATTAAACACAAAATTAATTTTCTGACAAATAAATATCATGCGAGATACGTAAATGAATCAATCGAATATTTAAAAAATTAAAAATCTTTATCGATTTAATAAACACAAAATTAATTTTCTGACAAATAAATATCATGCGAGATACGTAAATGAATCAATCGATATTTTAAAAAATTAAAAATCTTTAACAATAACTTCGAAACCGATCCTATTGTTATAGAATGACGTATACAATTAGCCCGAAGGTATTTCCTGTGAAAAATTTAAAAATGTGTTATAACCGGAAACTGGGGAGTAATTGTATTGTTAAAGCAATAAACGCAAGACCGGTAGCTTTAGAAATGAAATCCATTAAGGTGATTGGTCGTTATTGTTTTAAATTTAAAAATTTAAAAATCGTTTTAACCGTATCTACGAAATCGATTGAATTATTTTAAAAAAATAACGCGAAAGCGATTGGATAAAAAAAAAAAAAAATTCGAATTCAAAATTCGTATTAACGGTAGCTTAGTTTTCATAACGGTGCTTTTCCTATCGTGATTATTCACGTATTACTTCAAATAGAAAGATACACTTTCACCATCTGGTTAGATAGAATTTCCCAATGGTGTTTGACTGGTAGAATATGTATTATTTAAATCGATTGGCTAGAGAATAGGTCACTTGCTATTGATAACTGCAGTTTCCCCACAAAATAGGTCGTTTAACCGAAGAAAAGACGTTATTGCTTCAAGACGAATGTTCTGAATATAAACCATTTCAGTTTTTTCGTTTTTTTTTTTTTTAAATTACGTTCGCTGCTAAGCATTGAATACAGCATGTGAGGGAGCTTTTTGCATGCATAATTCTGCCTCGTCCCCTCATACTACTATAGTAATAAAATTCACCTGATACGACACTATCCTATTTGTAAAGATACTTTAAATTCTATGCGAAAAATATAAAATTAACCGGTGGATACATTATTATTACCATAGCATAGGAGGCTGTATCCGTATTTCCGCTACTGTATAAAATATTTAAAAAATAATTTATAAGTGGGATTAATATTAAAAAAAATGTCAAAAAATGTATTTAAATAGCTTGAAAAAAGCTCCACTTTTTAATAATTGAGTCTCGAAGATGAACCTGTTTAGAAGGACAAGCTTCTTTGTTTTTTTTTTGAATAATTAAGTTTTATTTGAAATATTTTGCTGAAAATCTATTATGCTACTATAGTATTAAGTGGGTATAAAATATATAATAGATCCTTCATACCTTTATCAATATTTAAGTAGTTGTAAAATATTTAAACTGTTAATCTCTTTTATAAAAATAAAGTAAATTCTGGATAAACTTTAAAAGTAGATTTCGGGTGGATGTTTTTTCTTAGTAAAAATGTCAAATTTAGAAGTCTCTGTGCATATTTAATGAGTTAGA